AGTTCCGTGGAAAAAGCATGCTTTTCCCAGCTGGGTAGCATCCTCACTCACCGCCTGCTTTGGCTGGCAGGAGGGAGCTCTCCTGCCCCGTGTGGCCCTCAGATGGGCTGCCACACCACACTGTTATTACTTCCTCTCTGTGGATCATGCCAGCCTCCTAGTCAATTCTGATGGGAGATCCTGGATACCTTGGTTGCCAGTGAAGGATTCACACAGTTATTATAGTTCTTTTCGATGGGAGCCTCCAAACCCTGCTGTTTCTAGTCAGCCATCTTGGTGCTGCTTCTGTGTGTCTGTTTTTGTGCCAGTACTCTGCTGTTTGGGTGACTGTAGGCTTATAGTTTAGTTTGAAGTTGGATGGTGTGAAGCCTTTGGCTTTGTTCTTTTTGTTTAGGATTGCTTTGGCTATTTGGACTCTTAGTTCCATATGAATTTTAGAATAGTATTTTTCTAATTTTGTGCAAAATGACGTTGGTAGTTTGATAGAATAGTATTGAATCTCTAGATTGCTTTGGGTAGTATGGCCATTTTAATGATGTTGATTCTTCTATGGGCATGGAATATTTTTCCAATTGTTCATGTTGTCTATAATTTTTTCAACAGTGTTTTATAGTTCCCCTTGTAGAGATCTTTAACCTCATTGGTTAGATCTATTCCTAGGTATTTGGTATTTTCTTTGTGTGTGTGGCTATTGTAAATGGAATTGTGTTCTTGTTTTGGCTCTCAGCTTGAATGTTATTGGTGTATAGAAATGCTACTGATTTTTGTACTTTGATTTTGCATCTTGAAACTTTACTGGAGTTCCTTATCAGTTTTAGGAGCCTTTTGGCACAGTCTTTCCAGATGTAGAATCATATCAGCAGACATGATGTCACTTTCCTCTTTTCCTTTTTGGATGCCTTTTATTTCATTCTCTTGACTGATTTTTCTGGCTAGTACTTACTATGTTGAATAGAAGTGGTAAGAGTGGGCATTCTTGTCTTGTTCTTGTTTTTAAAGGGAATACCTCCAGCTTTTGCCTGGTCAGTATGTTGGCTGTGGGTTTCTCATAGATGCCTCTCATTATTTTGAGGTATGTTTCTTCAGTGCTTAGTTTATTGAGGGTTTTATTTATCATTAAGAGATGTTAAGTTTTATCAAAAGCTTATCTTACATCTATTGAAATGGTGATTTTTTTTTTTTCTTTTTTCTTTTTTCTTTTTTTTGGAGACAGAGTCCCGCTCTATCCTCAAAGCTGGAGTGCTCACTGCAACCTCTACCTCCCAGCTTCAAGTGATTCTCACGGCTCAGCCTCCCGAGTACCTGTGACTACAGGCACGCACCAACACACCCAGCTAATTTTTGTATTTTTAGTAGAGACAGGGTTTCGCCATGTTGGCCAAGCTGTTCCTGAACTCCTGGCCTCAGGTGATCCGCCTGCCTCAGCCTTCCAAAGTGCTGGGATTACAAGCATGAGCCACTGTGCCCGGCTTTTAAATTTTAATTCTATGTGATGAATCACATTTATGATTTCTATATGCTGGAACAACCTTGCATTCCAGGAATAAAGCCTAGCTAATTGTGGTAAATAAACTTTGGCTGTGCTGCTCGATTTGGTTTGCTAGTATTTTGTTGAAGACTTTTCTATGTTCATCAGCTATATTGTCCTGCTGTTTTGTTTGTTCATTGTGTCTTTGCCAGATTTTGGTAACAGAGTGATGTTGGCCTCATAGAATGAGAGGGGAGGAGTCCCTCCTTCTCATTTTTTGAAATAGTTTGAGTAGAATTGATACCAGCTCTTCCTTGTACTTGTGGTATATTTCAGTTGTGAATCCATCTTGTCCAGGACTCTTTTTTGGTTGGTAGATTTTTTATTACTGATTCAATATCAGAACTTGATACTGGTTTGTTCAGGGTTTCAGTTTCTTCCCTATTCACTCTTTGGAGATTGTGTGTTTCTAGGAATTTATTCATTTCCTCTAGATGTTCTACTTTATGTGCATAGAAGTCTTCATAAGTCTCTGAGAATCTTTTATATACCTGTGGGGTCGATTGCAATGTTCCCTTTGTTGTTTCTCATTGTGCTTATCTGGATCTTCTGTTTTTCTTTGTTAACCTCGCTAGTGGTCTATCAATCTTGTTTATCCTTTCAAAGAACCAACTTTTGGTTTTGCTGATGCTTTGTATGGAATTTGGGGTCTCAATTTAATTCAGTTATCTGATTTTAGTTATTTCTTTTCTTCTGCTAGCTTTGTGCTCAGCTTATTTTTCTTTTTCTAGTTTCTTTACATATGATGTTACCTCAGTAATTTGAGATCTAACTTTTAAAGTAGGCATTTCATGTTATAAACTTCTTTTAATGCAGCTTTAGCTGTGTCCCAAAGATTTTAGTATGTGTTTTCTCTGTTTTCACTTATTCAAAGAACTTTTTGATTTCTTCCTTGATTTTATTGTTTACTCAAAAGTTGTTGAGAAGCCAGTTGTTTAATTTCTGTGCATTTCTGTAGTTTTGAGAGATCTGCTTGTTGTTTTCTGTTTTTATTCTATTTTAGTCCAAGAGTATGGTTGGTATGATTTTGATTTTTTTAAAATTTATTGAGACTTGCTTTCTGGCTGAGCGTATAGGTTCAATCAAGTGTGTCCTGTGTGCATATGAAGGATTTATGTGTTCTATGGTTGATGGGTTGAGTGTTCTGTAGGTGTCTATTAGGCCCAATTGGTCTATTCTGTAGATGCCTATTAGGTCCAGTTGGTCATGTGGAATTGATGTCCAAAATTTCTTTGTTTATTTTCTGCCTCAATGATATAATGATGTCCATGGGGTGTTGAAGTACACCACTGTTATTATGTGGCTAATTCTTTTCTTAGGACTAGAAGTACTTGTTTTATGAATCTTGGTGCTCCAAAGTTTGGTGCATAGGTATTTAGCATATTTAAGTATTCTTATTGAATTGAACCCTTTATCGTTATGTAATATATCCTTGTCCTTTTGTATGATTATTGGCTTAATGTCCTTATTTCTTTTTTATTTTTTTTTATTTTTTGAGACGGAGTCTTGCTCTGTCACCCAGGCTGGAGTGCAGTAGCGCGATCTCGGCTCACTGCAAGCTCCGCCTCCTGGGTTTACGCCATTCTCCTGCCTCAGCCTCCTGAGTAGCTGGGACTACAGGCGCCCGCCACCTCGCTCGGCTAGTTTTTTGTATTTTTAGTAGAGACGGGGTTTCACCATGTTAGCCAGGATGGTCTCGATCTCCTGACCTTGTGATCCGCCCGCCTCAGCCTCCCAAAGTGCTGGGATTACAGGCTTGAGCCACCGCGCCTGGTCCAATGTCCTCATTTCTTAAAGAAGACAGAGAATGCCAGACATAGTTGCTGGTTTTATCCCAGCACTTTGAGAGTCTGAGGCTGTAGGATTCCTTGAGGTCAAGAATTCTTGACCAACCTAGGTGACCTAGAAAGACCCTGTCTGTACAAAGAATTTTAAAAGTATTCAGATGTGATGGTACATTCCTGTAGTCATAGCCGCTTGGGAAAGTTAGGGAGGGTGACTTCTTTAGGCCAGGAATTCAAGGTTCCACTGAGCTGTGATTGCACTCTGGCCTGATGACAGTGTAAGAACTTGTCTATAAGGCAAAGATAGATATTTTAAATTAATTTAAAATTAGTTTGTTGGGAACAGGTCCCCAAATCTGGCCATAAACAGGCCCCAGAACTGGCCATAAACAAATCTCTGCAGCACTGTGACATGTTCTTGAGGGCCATGATACCCACGCTGAAGGTTGTAGATTTACCGGAATGAGGGCAAGGAATACCTGGCCCACCCAGGATGGAAAACCACTTAAGGTATTCCTAAGCCACAAACAATAGCATGAGCAATCTGTGCCTTAAGGACATGTTCCTGCTACAGATAACTAGCCAGAGCCCATCCCTTTGTTTCCTGTAAGGAATACTTTTAGTTAATCTATAATCTATAGAAACAATGCTTATCACTGGCTTGCTGTCAATAAATATGTGGGTCAAACTCTGTTTGGGGCTTCAGCTCTGAAGGCTGTGAGTCCCCTGATTTCCCACTCCACACTCTGTATTTCTGTGTGTGTGTCTTAAATTCTTCTAGCGCTGCTGGGTTAGGGTCTCCACAACCGGGCTGGTCTCGGCATTAGCTAATAGATTTCTACTACTCTAACTTCACTTGGATATTAATATGTTAATTAATAGATTTCTACTTCTTTAGATTCACTTTCATTTTGGTCCTTTGATTTAGCCGTGTTTTTTGGTACTTTGATGTTTTGTGGTTTTGTTGATATTTTGATCAAGTAAGAAACAGCTACCTATTCCATTTTTTATGGAATGAATTTTTACAGATGAAAACTGATAGCCATCAGGCCACTCTAGTCATTCTGGGAAATTCTTCAAACTGTTGTCAGGATGTGTCTTCTCTGGACTACTGTGTGTATTTTCCTATTAAAAAGATTTGCCTTTTTTTCTCTTAAGAGCCTTTAATCTCTCCCTTTGGTGAGTGTCATAGTCACTACTTTCTTTCTGTTGTGGAAATAAGCATTCATCTTTGTTCTCAGTTGACCCAACATGTCATTTCAACTATATCACCATTTTCTTCAGCACCACATATTAAAGGAAGCAATGAACAATCTTTAGCCCCAGAATAACCCAGAACTTTGGACATATGTTTTGCTCCTTTTTTTTTCTTTGCTGGGGGCAAAACAGAATGTGAAAAATTTCTGTGTAACTGCACTGTGCTGTGGTGCACAAATACAACAAATTTTCTTCCTTCTAAATGCGACCATTCTTGGCTTTGTGTTCACCTAGGCGCTGCAAACTCAACTGGCTTTAGTCACGCTAATATATTTAAGTTCATATATCAATTGAGAAAACAAAGGGACCTCAAGTTTTTGATTCAACTATCATGGTGTTCTCAACGTGGTATAATTTGGTATATTACATTTATAAAGTATTTTCACCTGAATTTAATAATTGGAATTTTTAAAACTTTTGGTATCTTTCAGATATGTTTTCTCATGATACTCAAGGCCTCTTGAGAAAAAAGTGCATAGAAGCATCATTCCAAAAATTGATATTGGATAGATATGGGAGCTGTGGCCCTCAGAATTTACACTTAAGGAAAGAGTGGGAAAGTAAGGGTAAGTATGGCAGTCACAACAGATGTTGTGATGGACATACAAAATGTAGCACAACTACCTGTAACAAAAACGTCACTGCTATAAGCGGTCAAAAACAAAAAACTCCATCTATGTCAGTTGCTTTTTCTAATCCATGTGTTTCTGCAACTAAATGTCAGCATCAATTTTTGAAACATACCTTTTCTTTGAAAGAAAATTTGGAAAATCTGAATAGTGACTTAGTCCACATTTCAAATAATCTTATAAACCAGTTAAAACATAGAATTAGAGTAAATGTTCAGTCAAATATTTCTGAAAAGAAAAGATTTAAAAATGAAGAGGTGATTTCTAAATATGATCAATTTGATGGGTCCTTTGTTAAAAGTTTGTTTCACCAACAAATAACATCTCCTTCTGCTTGTGATCAATATAGAAATGTCTTCATTCATTCATCATTGATTAATCAAGTCACGAAATAGATAATTTGGGAAAACATCACACATATGATAAAATTTTGACAGCCTTTAGGCAGGTCTCTACCAGTATATTTGTATTGCAGAGAAAAATCAGTACAATAAATCTGATACAACATTAAGCCAAGGCATAAGCCCCAGAAGACATGAGAAAACTCATTTTCTACAGAACCATTACAAATGTAAAATATGTGAGAAAGTCTTTCATGAATGCACCAACCATATCCATCAGAGTATCCATATTCAAGAGAAGTCTGCCAAATGTATCAAGTGTGTAGAAACTTTTATGCAGTCATCAAAACATACTCAGCCTCAGAAAATCCATGTTGGAGAAAAGTCACACAGATGTAATAATGGTGAGAAAATCCTTAGTAAATTGTCAAGTCTAAGAAACCATAAGATAATCCATAATGAAGAGAAACCTTACAAATGTAAAGAATGTGACAAAGCCTTTAACCATCGTTCACACTTTACTTAACATCAAATAATACATACTGGAGAGAAACCATAAAAATGTAAAGAATGTGGCAAAGCCTTCAATTCTAGTTCACATTTTACTATACATCAGAGAATCCACACTGGAGAAAAACTTTACAAATGTAAAGCATGTACCAAATATTTTACTTATTCTTCAAATCTTGTGCATCAGAGAATTCATATTGGAGAGAAACCTTACAAATGTAAAGAATGTGGTAAATCATTTAAAGTGTCTTCAGCCCTTACTCAGCACAAGAGAATTCATAGGGGAAAGAAGCCCTACAAATGTAAGGAATGCAGCAAAACCTTTAACGGTAGGTCGTACCTAACTAAACATCAGAGAATTCATACCAGAGAAAAACTTACACATGTAAATCATGTAGCAAATCTTTTTCTCATCCCTCGAGTCTTATTATCCACCAGAGAATTCATACTGGAGAAAAACCCTGTAAATGCAAAGAATGTGGCAAAGCCTTTAATTGTAGTTCATGCCTTACTTGACATCGAAGCATTCATACTAGAGAGAAACCCTACAAATGTAAGGAATGCAGCAAAGCCTTTAACTATAGGTCATACCTAATTAACATCAGAGAATTCATACCAGAGAAAAACTTGACAAATGTAAATCTTTTTCCCATTCCTCAAGTCTTTTTGTCCACCAGAGAATTCATACTGGGGAAAAACCCAATAAATGCAAAGAATGTGGCAAAGCCTTTAATTATAGTTCACGCCTTAATCAACATCAAATAATTCATACTAGAGAGAAACCCCACATATGTAAAGAATGTGGCAAGTTATTTAATCGATGCTCAACCCTTTCTCGACATAAGATAATTCATACTAGAGAATATCTATAGTTGTGGTAAATGTGGAAAGAGTTTTATCCAAAATTTAGAACCTAAAAATCACCATAGAGTTTATAGGGAAACAGACTTTGCACACTGAATAAATGGGAGGAAGTATTTAATCAAAACTCAAGTCTGAATGTGTCAGGACTTACACAAAAAAGGACTAAAGCACAGATCCCAGACTTTACATTAAATAAGAATATTTATTATGGAGAATTACTCTAAAGCCAAAGCAGTTATTTATTTTGTTATGTGTTTCAAATGAGCAAAAACATTGATGTTTGGACAAGTAATTATTCAGTGAGCACTTTATTTGTATTGAAAATATTTGAGATTTGTATAAAGCAAACAATAATTCAATTCTCAAATTAGTTGTTATACCTTAATGCCTAGTGTTTATATAAAAACATATAGTCTATTTTTTCTACATCAGAGCTACGAGAGGTTGTTTTATAGTAGATGAACATCATTAATATCAATTTATTTTCATGGAAGTTTAATGGCAAATGTAGAATACGTGAAGAAAATCTAAAAGACGCTCTTTGTGTTTGAATCATAAAACAGTAATGCATGTAAATATATAGTACATATTTAGGGCATTATTATTCTATACAAAAAGAAGAATATTCTGAGTTTATTACATCAATTGTTCCTTAAGTAGAAAAAAACTGGTCAGTTATTTGAAATACCAGCATACCTTTATACTACAGTGAAGTAGTAACTTTGAATATTATTTGATGTGTTAAAAAAAAAAAATCACAGATATCAGAGAAAAGTGAAAACTTATATCTGAAAGATCCTAAATATACTTCATACCAATTTTCTGAAGGACTTCAACTTCGAAAAATATTGATAACATTCTCATAGTTACTATATTATATTCTGTCCTGCTTTTTGTAGCTACTGGTGTACTATAACAGTTATAATAAAGATTATATGGTAGTATACTTAAAAGCCATACTTTTACAATCCTGAATCATTGCTTATAAAATTTTATTCAGTGTTTTTCTTTGCACATGCCCTTTTTCAGTGTGAACACTTAGAGGCTTTTCTTGGCTTTAACTTACATTGAATGGAATATACAGATGTATCAACATAGAAAGAAAAAGGTGTAAGAGAACTATACAGGCAGAAATGCATGTGTTTACCTATCTTCAAAGGGAGACGAAAATCATGGATCACAACAGGAAATTTGAGAACTGTTGATTTACCACCAAACTAGAAACCTCACAAATTCTCAAAGCAAAATTAGTTTCTCTATTGTACGCTGAATTTTTCTCTCACAAATCTAATGTCTTCTGAGTTCAGACTCTATCTCTTACAAATCCTTTTTTCTTTCATATGCTTCCTGTAAGAATAATTATATGATTTTCTTATTTGAAAGCTTATAAAATATTGTTATATGTTATCATAGATTTTAAGAATGTTTTCATAAAATTTAATGGTGCTGGCCAGGCACAGTGGCTCACACCAGTAATCCCAGCATTTTGAGACTGAGGCAGGTGGATAACCTAAGGTTGGGAGTTCGAGACCAACGTAACCAATGTGGTAAAACCCCATCTCTACTAAAAATACAAAAATTAGCTGGGCGTGGTGGTTCACATCTGTAATCCCAGCTACTCAGGAGGCTGAGGCAGGAGAATTGCTTGAACTTGGGAGGCAGAAGTTGCAGTGAGCCAAGATCATGCCACTGCACTCCAGCCTGAGTGACAGAGTGAGACTCCATGTCAAAAAAAAATTAATGGTACTTAGAAATTAATCTGCAGACATGAGTAACTCTATAGTGATATATTTAGTTACAATACAAAATTCTGACCATTTAGTTGAAGTAAAAGTAGTGCCAAAGATAAATTTAAAATCTTGAAAACAGCCAGAACAAAGCAACAAATTACCTAAAAGGAGAAATAATTTAAGTGCAGTATAATATGTCATAAAAAGTAATACTTGCAAATGACAATGGAATTAATTTTTTTACGTTCAGGTAGGAAAACCTAGTATCAACACAAGATTCTGTATTCAGCAGAATTTTTTTTTTCTACTTTAAGTTCTAGGGTACATGTGCACAATGTGCAAGTTTGTTACATATGTATACATGTGCCATGTTGGTGTGCTGCACCCATTAACTCATCATTTACATTAGGTATATCTCCTAATGCTATCCCTCCTCCCTCCCCCGACCCCACAACAGGCCGTGGTGTGTGATGTTCCCCTTCTTCTGTCCAAGTGTTCTCATTGTTCAATTCCCACCTATGAGTAAGAACATGCAGTGTTTGGTTTTTTGTCCTTGTGATAGTTTGCTCAGAATGATGGTTTCCAGCTTCATCCATGTCCCTACAAAGGACATGAACTCATCCTTTTTATGGCTACATAGTATTCCATGTTATATATGTGCCACATTTTCTTAATCCAGTCTATCATTGATGGACATTTGGGTTGGTTCCCAAATGTTGCTATTGTGAATAGTGCCGCAATAAACATATGTTTGCATGTGTCTTTATAGCAGTATGATTTATAATCCTTTGGGTATATACCCAGTAGTGGGATGGCTGGGTCAAGTGGTATTTCTGGTTCTAGATCCTTGAGGAATCGCCACACTGTCTTCCACAATAGTTGAACTAGATTACAGTCCCACCAACAGTGTAAAAGTGTTCCTATTTCTCTACATCCTCTCCAGCACCTGTTGTTTCATGACTTTTTAATGATTGCCATTCTCACTGGTGTAAAATGGTATCTCATTGTGATTTTGATTTGCATTTCTCTGATGGCCAGTGATGATGAGCATTTTTTCATGTGTCTGTTGGCTGTATAAATGTCTTCTTTTGAGAAATGTCTGTTCATATCCTTTGCCCACTTTTTGATGGGGTTGTTTTTTTCTTGTAAATTTGTTTGAGTTATTTGTAGATTCTTGGTATTAGCCCCTCATCAGATGAGTAGATTGCAAAAATTTTCTCCCATTCTCTAGGTTGCCTGTTCACTCTGATAGCAGTTTCTTTTGCTGTGCAGAAGCTCTTTAGTTTAATTAGATCCCATTTGTCAATTTTGGCTTTTGTTGCCATTGCTTTTGATGTTTTAGACATGAAGTCTTTGCCCATGCCTATATCCTGAATGGTATTGCCTAGGTTTTCTTCTAGGGTTTTTATGGTTTTAGCTCTAACATTTAAGTCTCTAATCCATCTTGAATTAATTTTCGTATAAGTTGTAAGGAAGGGATCCAGTTTCAGCT